AATATGGCCATGTAGCTATGTTGAAAGGTCAAAGCTAGGCCCAGGATCATTGTTAATTTTCCAAAACAGCCAAAATTTTAATCTGACACTACTACTTCTGTACACTACTGAAGAGAAATTCTGGAGTCGTGCTGCTACCACTTCTTGAATGAGCAAATTGTTGGGGTTAAATTACTGGATTAGGATGCTTGAATGTGAATCCTGATGACCGTCTGTCTTCTCTCACAACAGTGCTGTGATAAAATGAGGTGGTTAAAGTGGAGGTGCATCCGGTGGCCTGTGGGGTGTTCTCCATTGGCAGCTTCCCCCAAAGGAAGACAAACCACCTGTGAAAGGTCTCCAGGCAGTTGTCTTTTGCTGCTGCTTCATAATGAGTATTCGTTCAGTGAGTGAAACCCGAAATGTCTCACTGCTGTGGCTGGGAGCTAAGCCTTTGTTCATGGAGATCTGTGTTTTAATGCTGTTAATGTTTTCATTTCATTCACTTGTTAAAGCAATAAAAGAGATTGTATTCCTGGCAGACTGATACAAACCCTGCCAAATGAGAACCTGTGGCAATTTGAACTTCTGCCACTGAGCTGCCAAGAGGAGGGCAGCTACCAGGGCTGCTGGTTGCAGCATGAATTAGGGGCTGGGCAAGCTTGGCTGGCAGAACAGCCCCTGTTCAGGTGCTGCTGGATTCTGCTCACCAGGGGAGCTGCTCACCGCAGTAGCAAGCCCCATGTTTGTATGTAATTCAGTTTTTGGGGTGTATCTCTGTGCCACAGCCAGAAGTGGATTACAGCCTGGAAAACGTACCTGTCTTCTGCTGAATAAATCAACTCAGATAGTAATCAGACTTGAGGCACGTATTGTGGACTTTTATGTTAAGTCCAAGCTGACAGCACTCCTCAGCAGTGGTTGCTCAAACAAAGTGAGACTGCACCACCTGACTGCACAATAAATACAGCTTTGATTATCACCACAGCCTCTTCAGTCACCTGTTTAACGCTGCAGTCTTATTTCCTGCTCTGCCAAGTTTCCACTCCATGCCAACCCAACTGTGTGTGAGGTCACAGGGCCATAAGGTAGTTCTGGTTAAAGGGACTCCAGGATGTCATCTGGTCCAGCCTGCTGCTGGTTGCCTCAGGGTGCCTAGTGAAAAGTTGGAGTCAGGAGCTGCTACAGTGATAAAGACTCATGAAAGTTCTATATAGCATGTCACAAGCAGGAGAGTTCATGGGGAATGGGAAAGGAAAGGCAAAGGGCAGATTGGTGGCAGTCAATGTATGAAGGGTGTCTCCAGAAACACAGTGCAATGATAGGAAAGCTTAGGTCTTTCCCTGCATCGCTAAGGATCTCGAAGGAGATCTGACAGGCAGGTTTCTACCCAAAAGCTGTTGTTAGCGTGGTACACCTAAGAAACTATTCAGGCTACTGTGGCACTGCAAGAGGATCTTATTCTTTTGACTAATGAAACAAAGTGTAAGTAGTATCAGGGTCAGTGGTGTCCTTCCACCATTAAATATCTGCTCAAGTTTAATTGCGACACAGATGCAGCTGTTCTGCTGAGATGAACTAAAGGCCTGGGCTGCTGAAAACTAATGGGATGTACTGGGTAATAGTTGCTCTGCATATACCCGGCACCCTTTCTGCTTTTTCCTAAGCACTTACCAGTGGCTTCTGTCATAGGCGAGCTCAGAGAATAACATTGGAGATAAAAAGTGAAAGTTATCATGGTGTTGCCTTCTGCGATTGCTGTCATACTGCTGTGTTGCTCAGGCGCTTGTGTCTGAAGCCTCCTGCTGTATTAATGACTTACTGGATTTACAGGTCATGCGCTTTCGACTCATTAATTTGAATATACCATTATCCTAAAATATATACTTCAAAATCTGAGACAGGAACAGGTTTTTTTGTGTAACACCTAAAAGGCGTTTCAACTTCAAATTGAAATTTTGTGTGCAAATGATAGAACATGAATAGCTGATGCTCTCTTTTACAGCAAAGTGGAGTAGGGTAGAACATAAGGAGAGTAGAATTGATTATAATGAAGAGAGGGAAGAAAGATTTGCATAGGTTCTATGTTGGGACTTAATATCCACAATATCATCAACTATGCATAGTGTAAATGTTCTCCAGGGCTTTATTATGTGAGATACTCCTCATGGTTAAAAAGTATGGAAGGACCCTTTCATATTAAAACTTCCTGTTCTTTTGATTCAGCAGCAATTAAGCAAGGAAAGGAAGATTAAAGAGCAAGAAAGTCTAAATAAATTTCTGTTTCTGGAAACAGAGACTACAAAACAGCTTTTCATGCAGGATATAAATTATGCTTATACTTATGAAGCAGTGTTTTGCAAGCATAATGTCTCAGAGCTGCTAGAGGAAGATTTCAATATGCAGAGATTTAGCCATGTTTGAAGTCTCAGTTCCTAGTAGAAAAAAAAACATTCCTGAATACAGATGTCTTAAGAAGAATATAAATAAATAAAAAAAATTAAATGGAGATAATACTAAATAGTTAACAAATTTTGAATTTAATATTTTCTCTTACAGTTAATACACGTAGCTGTTAATTTCATAGATACTGTAGTAATCATGACAAAAGCTTATAGTCTTTAACAGTTATATCTGCAGAGGAAATAATAAGATTTGTATGCACTTCCTGTACTGAGATACTCTTCCAAACCTGCCAAATTTGTGTGAATCACATTAATCACAAAACAAGGGACAAATACCCACCCACACTTAAACGTAAATCAAAAGCAGGTATTGAACAATGCTGAGAAGTTGATTACAGTAAAACATTCAAAGTATCATCAAATTTTGGAAATTAAACTTCTTGTTTCTGTTTTATACTACATTCCACCAAGCACTTAGTTACGATAAGATAAAGTTAATTACTCAGGAGATTAATCCCAGGTTTGCGTGTTATCTGGATAGTTTGTCTAGTACTAAAGATACCAGCCAGCACTATGGCACTCCTGTAAGCTGCTCTGTCTTCTATTTCATTTCCGGGCATGGGTCTGGATAGAGTTGACTTGTAAGATTCAGGGCTTTTTCACTTTACGTGGATGACTTTATGTCTTAGTGATACATCTGCAGTTAATTTATGCAGTATGAGGGGAAGCAGGTAGGGTTTGTCATGGGGGGGAGGGCAGAAAAATAGTCTAAAATTTAACTTAACTCGCTGTTGAAAGTGTAGTAGAAGTTTAATGTAGGTAAATGTCTTACCTGTATGAATAAAATACAGGTTGTATGGATTTCTCAAGGCACGTTAATGCCTTTTAATTTCTATCCTCACCTAAGAAATTCTATTTTCAGCACATAAATCGAGTCATTCAATATTAAGCAATTGCATCTTCTGTCTGATTAAGAAGGTGACAAAATATTCCTTGAAGATTGGAAACCATTACCCCTTAGCAACACTAGTTTTAAGAAGCATGGATGAGGTGGTGTTCATTAAAACACTTTTTTCATCATTAGCATGATCCTAGATGCACTATCAACAAATAAGTCTACTTGCTAAGTTACTTGAAATACATATATTTTCAAGTTGCAATAAGATTAGTAAGCTAATGAAAATAGTAGCTTTCTGATTGGATTGGATTGGATGAGTAGGTGTTATCCAATTTGAAACAATTAGCCCTGTCCAGTGATAGTACTGACGCAACTAAAACTTGCATAGGACTTTTTATTCATGTTTTCCTTTCCCTGTCCTGCTGAGCAGGATAGAGTTCATCTAAGAAAACCTTATTCTGTTTTAAGAAACTGGCTTGAAATTACAAGAATAGTATTGTAAAGGTGAAATAGGCAGCAATGGCACATAGTACTCTCTGTGAAGGCAGAGAATGGAAAAGATTGGAGGGGAGGTTCCCAGCAGCTCTTCCAGGAGAAAAAATGAATGGTGGTGTCAACCTGTGTTAGTGATAATTATTTTCACTAGGCTATAAACAGCTCTGGTGGACTGGATGCAGGGAAGCAGTGACATGTAGGACTTTGGCTGTGTACAAAAGTGCGGTTTGAGGTTGGCAAACTGTGGAGCTGTGTTGAGAGCACAAATAGATTTGGAAACGCAGTTGTTTGATTACCTGTGGAGTTAAAAGGAAGATTGCCAGAGAGTGTGCCGTGGGGGTCACTAAGGATAACAGATGGGATTAAGTTTTGGCACAAGTCGGATTTTGTATCTAAATTCTGTTCATAATTCTTATTTTGCTTTTAAAAGAATAGGTTACTAAACGCTTATGACCATGTTATGTTTGTGTTTTGCTATTGTGTGCATGTGTAAACTGAATAAAGGCACAAAGCTTTTTCCACGGGTCTGCGCTTTTTCAGTCTGCTTGTTAAGTATTTAATGGTACACCTGAGTTGGAGTATAACCTGAAGGAAGGAGAGTGAGGCTGCTTGTTAGTTGCGGTCCTCCTAGGTCCAGAGCATGTTGAGGCTGCAGGTGGGTAGCACCTGACTCGAAGCACTCAGAAGAATTGAAAATTTCAGGAACAGTAAGAAAATCAGCAGTCTGTCTGCTAGTACAGCAATGTATCATTTACCTTATGCGATCTGTTAAGAAAGAGCTGCTGAAAACAACTTACTTTTTTTTTCATTTTAACTTGTTTTTTTTAAGGTCTAATCTGGTCCTTCCCTTGTGGCAAAACATATTTGTCAGTAAATATACACTCTAGTATTAACTAAGAAATTAACTAAGAAACTCTCCTGCACACTTGTAATATAGGGGCATGAAAGCTCATTCTTTACTTTTTCCTTCTTTGTTTTTTCTGTTGAAGTAATGATAGTACTCCATTTTTCCTCCTGTGTTCTACTTCCACAGCAGCTGCCTTGTGGTTCTTCTAGCCTACGTAGCCTTCTTGGCTTTTTCATATGTGGAGAGAAGAGATGGGCACAGGGTTTTGTTTTTAAAACAACAGATTTGCTTAGAAACAAGTAAAAAATGAGAAATTTGGCAATGCAGGGAAATGACAAGAAATGTTGCCTTTATCTATCTCTTGATTTTATTTTAGGTTTATCCAAATGAAGAGAAGAACCATTCCACAGAAGAACTTAGCAAATCTGATATCCAAGAGGAGCTGAAAAAGGCTAATAGCCTTCCTAGTTTGACTCCTGGAAACAAAGCAGCAGATAAAGACAAGCAACCCCGGGAAGGTTTTTTCCAGTTTCTTGGAAGCTTATTTAATCTTGCAACAAAATCTTCTTTGGTAGACTCTAAACCATCCTCCTGCCAAGATGAACCCAACAGATGTGAAAAGGATTTACAGAACACAAATACCCTTACAGAGGGCACGCAACCACAGCATCCAAAAACTGAAGAGCCTGTCTGTTCTACGGCTAGAATAAAAGAGGACTCAGTAGATAAAGATGACATGATCTTAAATAACATTGGGAAAGACAGTTCACAGGATCAGCAAGGAGGCCGGAAACGATCTGCTGATGCGAAAAAGTAAGTTTTATATTTTAATACTAAATTACAGAAAAGCATATATGCGCAGAGAACTATGGTGACTAAGTTCTGTTGAGTGGAGGGCGGATGACTGATGTTCCCAAGGATGTTGGAGTGTCCCTGACTCTACTTTGTGGTAGCCTCTGCAGTAAATACCATAAATAAATGGGGAGAAGTCAACTTCTACAAAATGCAACTTTAAAAATGTATTTCTATATGTATAGAAGTTTTTTTGACCATGGGTGATAGATTCATTGTAGATTATTCTAGATATGAGGAGAGAAAAGACGTGGCATTTAGAAATGCATTAAGAACTGGAGACTTATTTAAAAGAAGAAAAAAAAAATACAGAACTTATTTTGTGTCTGTACTATGGGCTAATTAAAGTTAAAATTCTTGTCATTTTTGTATTTTGTTACTTCAGTGCTTTTACTTCTGCAAGGAAGGTTTCCACATCTTTAAGTTATCTTTCCTGGTTTATTTAACTTGGCATTTTTGCTTATTTATGTTATTTCCCTTTGTTCTTAGCATTTTTTTCTTTAATTAAAAGGTTATATAAAGTACTCAATTAGCCTAAGTATAAAACATCCTCAACAGTCCTGTAATATTTCCAAAAAAATATTTCCAAAAAATTGATGCCAAGGGCACCGATGCATATCCGGGAGTAGAAAAGCTAAAATATTGCCTATGCTTCACCATGTAATTACAAGATATTCTGTCTCTGGTATAAACATACATAGTATTCCAAAAGTATTTGTAGCTGTCATGTTGAATATTTGACTGTATGTGGTCCAGTTTCTGCTTGGTATTCAGAAGGTGAACTTGCCCACCTGTGATTAGTTTTCACTACCAGGATGTGTATTTCAAATTTTAAGCCAAAAGTAATGACTTGTATTCAGTGATGCTGTACAGGTACTCCTGTGGTTAGTGAAAGGAAAGTAACTCTGAGGTTTCACAATTGGTAGATTCACTGAGCATGCACACTTCCTTTTTTTTTTTTTTTAAACTGTTGGTTTTTTTGTTGTATTTTAAAGTTAATTTGAATCGCATTCAATCTATTTATCTATGGCATATGAAGCATTTTATCTCCAGACAGAAGATCAGAGGTTCGCGAAGTATCTGCAAAACAAATTTTGCTTTCACATTGGGGATGCCTGTATCTTTCCCTGTTATTCAGTTTGGCTGATGATTTTGAGCATCTGTAATTCACCTTTATATTATAAACGCAGTGGTGATCTGGATATAATCAGGGGACATCACCTCTTCAGGTGAACCTTAGGCTGTGTTTCCACCACCAAAATACCATACTGTTTGTAATAGTAATGACTGTGTTTTCTTTGGTTTGGTCTGATTGTTACAGTCAGCCAGTTTTTATGATGGATTCTTAATGTACTAGTATTTCTGACACTCCTTCCAAAATGTAAATTGCAGCCCATGACCACTTCACTGGTCTATCCCTTTAGTTGTTATCTTGAGAGGCCTCAATGCGTAATGTTATTCAGTCTAGTTTCTGAACAGTTTTTTCTTACAAGATGTTGAACAGGCTGGCATGCTTCAGGAGCCTTTCACTGCTGTTTGCTGTTTTGGTAGTATGCTCTGGAAGCTAAAGATGAAGTTGTGTGTCATAATGCCAGGAGCTGTGCAGATGCATGTCAGTCCTTCCCTCGAAGAGACCATAGTAAAAAAATGTGATAGGTATCAGTAGATCTTTCTCATTTTTTTCTTCAATTCATGTCGTTTCTTCCATCTTTTATATCAGTGTACTTTCTGTTGTGTTTTCTTCAGTATTCTCTCTTTCTCACTTTCTTCGTATGCAACTGTTGATCATATTCTTCAGTTTATGGTGGTGGCAATTTGTTCTTTACGCAGTTTTTTCCTCACTCTTTTTGATGACAGTTGATCAGTTCATATGCTGTACTTATACTGCTGTCATTTATCTTCAGTTACTCCTATCTAATCAGATGACTATGTAGTGGAGTTTTAGCTAAAGGCCCAGAATATGAGGGAACTAAACACGGCAATTGCGGCTTGCAAAGGAAGAGTAGGTGAGAGGCAGCCATGTGCACCTCTGAAGAATTCAGTCTTTTTTTTTTTTTCTCAGTGCCCTGGATGATGATCTAAGAGAATGGTGCTCATTTCTCCTTCCAGATGGAAAACTCTGGCTTCTGCTGACTTTTCAATGTACGAAGCAGCTTTGTTTGACTTTCCAGTTTTATGGATGCTTACAGGTCTGTGACTAGAATTAATGAGAGGAGCAGTTGTGCTGAGGGTTTTTATTTTTTTTTGCTGTTCTATTTGTTTTACACCAGTGCACTTGAGTAGATGCTGGGATGAGATGCCGTGCTGTCTAAATGCATAGTTGAGAAGGTTGGGCAGTCTCAGTGTTGAGAGCAATGCAGATTTGTACATAAGGCATTAATGAATGCTTACACAGTTCAGAGGATTTGAGTAATAGCTCATTGAAGTGACCTCTTTGTTTTGTGCAGGTATTTTTTGAGTTACAAAGGTTTTATTGAAATCAGTTAAAGTTGACATTTTCAATTGACCATATTTTAGTATGGGCTGTATTGTGAGATAACCTGTGCAAATCAGTGTAGATTTTTATCTTTGTGGTTTACTTGTCTTATAATCAAGCAAGAATAAAAACATCTGTTACAGGTTTGAAAGTTAGAGTGAGCTGGTCTATGTAGGAAATATTTTTTTTTTCCCAGAAATTTCTAAATGCAACTGTTGCAATATTGGACAAACATTAAAACACGTTTTCCTTTTAAAATTGTTCTCAAAAGTACAGCTTACATTCTGCCCTTTTTGGCTCAGCACACTGAAAAGTTGGGCAATCTCTGTGCAACTTCTGTGTATGTTTTTCTCTGCCTGACTACACAGTATGAACTATGTTTTGAAGCAATTACTGAAGAGAAATTGAAACAATAGTGTGGAAGCAGAGGTTTGTGTTGGTCACCATTTTAAACATTTGAATTAAGAATGCCTATTTTTTTATGATATCGAGATGATTATGTCGGTTTTATCTCTTTTAGTTTATTATAACTTAAAGGATGTAGAACAGGTGGTTTTTTTCTTTCTTCAGTGCTAACTTCTTTGCTAAATATTATCTAGCTGTTTTTAATTTAGCATAGTTAAATTGTAAAAAACACTCTTGATTGATGGCAGATGGCCTGATAGTTTTGTAGGATGTACTACAAACTAGCTAGCTGTGAGTGCTAAAAACATGAACAGTGATGGGCAAAAAGATGCAGCAGAAAGGAACAGAACGGTCTGTAGGTATCATGAAGGAAAATGGTGATGTGAATGTGGTTGTCTGCTAATATCTTGAGGTTTGGGTCCTAAAAGACCAATGAAACACATTAGTAATCCATACATATTCAAAGGCACTGCTGATTCCATTTATTGCTAGTTTTTTTGCATAGTTTTTAACATTTATTTCAGAGAAGAGTTGAAATGTAGGGCTTTACAAATATTTAAGGTGACTGCAAAGATGTATTATTAATCTTGTAACTGTTTTCTTTGTCATGAGGAACATTTTAAATGAGCTTGTTAATTCTAAACTACTGTTAAATATTAAATTAGAGGTTGTTATCTGTGGTTAGGGGGAGGCTGCAGTGATAAGTAAGAGAGGAACAGTTGTTAGGTTGCATAATCTCCATGAGAGTTATTTTGTGTGGTGTTTTTTCAATAAAAAAAGAACAAAGAAACTTTCAGAAATTAATAACTGTCAAGTAGTCTCAGAGCATGCAAGACTGAGACCCAGACAACCTGATTAACCTCGTATCCTCAAAGCAATGTTTTGCAAAATACAAGGAAATGAGACTGCTCTGACTTTGTAGACTGAGGTTACTTCTGCCCTCAGTGGGAGGCCTGGCCTTTAGTAGAGACTCAAATTTCCAGGCCTTGAGCCAAGGAGAGTGGAATTTGTGAGCTCAGTCTGTGCAGTGTGTGTTTGCAAGGGACAAAACACGTAGGCCACATTATTTCTCCATCATCCTCGCTGGCTGACAGGCTCAGTGGTAATTGTACCTTAAGGGCTTCTGGTCCTTTATCCAGATGTTGGCAGGTGGTGAAGAAGCAGCATAGAGGACAAACCATGATAAACTGTACAAAGTCTCTAGGCAATAATTACTGTAGACAGTAATGTAATAATTGTGATACTGAAGATGAATGATGAGAGTTGAGTTGGCTAGGTCTCCAGCTACTGCATCCATTAGTTTTCCAGTTGTCTGGGATGGCTGATTATTTCACAGAATCTAAGAATTGTAGGGGTTGGAAGGGAGCTCTGGAGATCATCTAGTCCAACCTCCTGCTAAAGCAGTTACCTATAATAGGTCACACAGGAGAGCATCCAGGTGGATCTTGAGTATCTTCAGAGGAGATTCCATAATCTCTCTGGACATCTTGCTAGTGTTCCATCATTCTAACAGTGAAGAAGTTCTTATTATCTTCTTCATTATCAAACTTTCATGTTACAGTTTCTTCCCATTGCCTCTTGTTCTACTGATGCTTACCCTCAAAGAGTCTGCCTTCATCGACTTGACTCCTGCAATTTAGATGTTTATGAACAGTGATAAGATCCCCTTCAGTTGTCTTTTCTCCACACTGAGGAGTTCCAGATCTCTCAGCCTTTCCTCATACGGGAGATGCTCCAAGCCCTTAATCATCTTTGCCACCTTCCACTATACCCTCTCAGGGAGATCACTGTTGTTTTTTTTTTTTTAACTGAGTAGTCCAGAACTGGATGCAGTTCTCCAGATGTGGCCTCCTCAGCAGAGAGTAGAGAGGGAAGATCACCTCCCTCAAGAGTGTGCTGCCCACACTCTTTTTATTGTACTCCAGAATGCCATTGGTTTTCTTAGCCATATGGGCACACAGCTGGCTCATGGCCAACCTGTTGTCTACCAGGACACTCAGGTCCTTCTCTACAGAGCTCCTCTCCAGCAGGTCGGGCCATAACCTCTACTGATGCATGTGATTATTCCTATCCAGATATA